ACGCAGCTTCTAAGTGCTCATTAATTCAGCGGCGGCTGCACTTTGCAGGCAGTCTTTTCCGGAACTGCCGGTGGTGTAGGGAATGCACTCAGCTGATGTTCTTTCCGCTCGAGATGCTCGGCTGGAGGTGCATTTACTGCTCAGTAAGCCACACCACTCTCTGTCATCTTTCTCTCCTCTCTCCCCTGCAGGTAGGTCGCACTACCAGCAGGCTACAACGCTCGGCACGCCCCGTCTGCAGGCCGATACGCTGTGTGGCTGTATGGAACTGCGGCTGTCACTGTGCTGTTCAGTGCAGTGCATCGTGTGGGCCAGGGGTGTAGTTTCCTATTCGTTAGGGGCTTCAGCCCCCCCCCCCCCCCCATTGGGCTACAGCCCCCCGAACTTTGAGAATAAAGCAGGCCGAGGCTGGGGAGAGACTCGTTTGGCGTGTTTTTGGAGTGCGTTGCGTCATTTTTCATTCCTCAGCTCTCTAATTCATTTTGCGAAACCATGACCCTGGTGTGGGAACCCGCGCCGGTTGCAGCGAGGTGCTGCACGTATCGCTACCCGTAGCACACAGCGGACGGCACCATGTGCCCCCTCCCCCGCCTCTCCCCCTGGTGTGCAGGCGGATACTCTAAGCTACAGGGACTTTCCCAGGCTCGAGGCAGCTGCCACCCAGCACCAGGTCCGTCCAGGGCGGATTCGCCTTACAAGAACCTCCATATTCCACAGCGCGACGGCACCTACACGACCCATCCTGCTCAGGATTCCACCCGGCTGTCCAGTCGCGTCGTCAGAATTTCACGCAGGACGGCGCGGGTCAAATCTGGTCACGGGACGCCTTCAGCCAAGGGGCCCTCTGGTCGCTGCAGGGACCCTGTTTTTTAAAGGACCTTTGTGAGCGCGGGATCCTGTTTCGATTGCTGCGGCCGTCTGTATAAAAAAGGATCTTCGGGCGCTTTAAACTGCCATAAAGTACTGGGATTTTCGGCCTCAGTGGCCTCGCCACCTGTGAGAAGGGCGAGACGTGACGGCCCCCCCCCCAAAAAAAAAAAATTCTTCCGCTATGTCATTGCCGCTGTCCCAGCACAGGACAGAATCAGAACATTTTGGGACGATGAGGCGGAGTCCCGATGTCCTAGAACGGAGCGGAACTCCGGCATCGTAGCAGGCGGCGGAGCTCCAAACCCAGCACGGCACATAACTCAGCGTCGCGGCGCCGGCCGTCCAGACCGGACTCGGCCCGTCTCAGCCGTCAGCTCTCACTGGCTCACCGCCTCTCGGCACGAAGGGAGTCGCGAGGGGCAGGCTCGCCGTGCGTCCGGCGCCGCCTGCGCCACCACGGGGCGCTGCCGTGGAAGGGTAAACAGCACGTGACAAGCTCCTCATGGCGCCACCGGAGGCGTATGGGCGGAGACCGGCGCAGAATGTACCGCTGAGAGACGCGGTCGCCCTCGATGCTGAAGGCTCTGACGGATGCTGTACTTTTTGTCTCCTTTTTCTCTTTACTTGTCGTTAAGAGCATTGTAAGAGATTTCATGTAGTTTAAGCTTGACTTCCAATAATTTCATCGTTTAGAGTTAGTTGGATGCCGTGCACCCGGATGCTCTGCGTCCGAACATATCACTTGACTTTTTTGCCCCAGAAGGGGATGTTGATCAAAGCTGACTGAACCTTTAGGCACCTGGCCAACGGCGCGCGGGGGGGGGGGGGGCGGGGCACTGGGCCATATCCCCCCAAGCCGAGAACGTAACTCCAGATGTTGAGTATGTCACAGGAATCGGTCCAACTTCGCAGGAGCTCGGACTAAATTTGACATTCCCCCCCCTCCCCACGCTGAGGAAGCTTCTGGCTATGTGCCTGCGAACTTCAACTGAGACCGTCCACGATGCCATCTTGACGGCTGTCGCGCTGCGCCTTCCGGCCCCTGGACGGCTGGCGGACTCTGTCCGCCACGGCAGCGCCGGCAGGCTCTTGTGTTGATGCCTCCGTTGTAAACGGCGGCCGGTCGTCGGCCGCCTCTCTCCGATGAGTGATCGCCTGTGCCTCGCCGGTGGGCCCGCCCATCCCGCTCCGCGGCGGCCGGCACATTCGCGTCGGGCCGGCTTCAGGGGCCGAGGCCGGTGTCCCCGAATAAGCAGTTCGGGGCTCGGTTTCCGCCCCAGGAGACTTTCTCCGCTCCCTCCCGCGTCCGGGCCAGGTGATATCGATCAGCGTTCCAGTCACGTGGTCGATACGCAGCTTAACGAGCGGGCTGCTGTTGTGCGTCGCCTGGCTCCTAATGCGTTGCAGCGAGTAGCGTCGGAACCCCGTGAGGGACGAGCCATCACGCATTTGAGATGGGTGCTATTACAGTGGCTGGCGTGTGGGATCGAAGGCGGCACCAACTCAACCGCAACATGATTTGACAACCCACATTTCAGAGTCACCTGGAGGCGGAGATCAGCAGTCTAGAACAAGGCCTGGAGGAAGAATGCCTCAACTTCCAGCGCTGGCACCGGCAGGCCCATGTGAGTACTGAATAGTCCTGAGGGATGCGGCCCACGCGTCTGTCAGGTGGACGGTGATCACCGGCAGCTCCGGCGAGAAGGACGCCGGCGTCATCGGCCCGGCTCAGGGTCGGGCCACTGCCTGGCGCGACCTCGGCCCTGATGGTCTGCTCGCTGCGTGCGCCCATCACGCGTGGGACCGTCCTTCTGGGGACGCGGTCGTCGCCGGGCCGCTCGGCGGTGTAGCGAGCAACCGGCAGCCGAAAGGAGGTCGAATGAGCTGGGCCCAGCTCGGCGCTGCGTCCCGCCAGCTGTAGGGCGCCGATGTGTTGAGTTGAGCCCAGCTCGGCGCTGCGCCCCGCCAGCTGTAGGGCGCCGATGTGTTGAGTTGAGCCCAGCTCGGCGCTGCGCCCCGCCAGCTGTAGGGCGCCGATGTGTTGAGTTGGGCCCAGCTCGGCGCTGCGCCCCGCCAGCTGTAGGGCGCCGATGTGTTGAGTTGAGCCCAGCTCGGCGCTGCGCCTCGCCAGCTGTAGGGCGCCGATGTGTTGCGTTGGGCCCAGCTCGGCGCAGCGCCCCGCCAGCTGTAGCGCGCCGATGTGTTGCGTTGGGCCTGGCTCGGTGCTGCGCCCCGCAAGTTGTAGGGCGTCGCTGACGCCGTGCCTATCACTCACCGGCTGGAATTTGGCTGGGGTCGGCCGCGATGACCGAGGAGGCTATGTGTTGGCATTCAGGAGGTGACTGTTGGATGGTGGCGAGGCAGTCCCAGCTCTGGTCCTGAGAATTGTCTCAGAAGCAGGGGCTTTGGAAGTCTGAACAACTCCATTAATGTTCAGAGGAGAGTTAATGACGGTGTGTTAAAAAGTTCATCTCTTAGACCCAGCAGCTCTGCAAGGCCGCTGGGCGCTCGCCTGGTCCTGGCAGCCGGCCCAGGGCGTCGCTCTGTCGTCGCTCGTCTCTGCCTCCCCCGTCAACACGGCGCCGCGGGCCACGGCGGCGGCGGCGGCGCGAGTCGGTGGAGAATCGATGCCGGCGGACGGCGGGCGGCGGCCGGCGGCCGCGGCCACTCCACGGTAAACACAGCCCGCCGCCCAGCCAGTCGGCCCGCCGCTAATCGCGGCCGTGTTTACAAGCGGGTCGTGTCCACGAGCTGGGGACCCATCGCTGGTTGACCAGTGATTCACGCCGTGAAGGGGGGGGAAGGGAGGGGGGTCCCGGCATCCCGAGCGGTACGGCGGGCCTTGCCAGACCGCGGCGCCAGTGGGGGACGCCGAGATAGCTCCTGCGGTTGTCACGTCCAGCCGCTGCATGACAAAGTGCGAAGCGAGGCTGAGCAGCCGTGCAGCGGCAGGAGAAGGAGTCTGAAAGACATCCGCGGCTCTGCCTGATTCCCGCTAGCAATCGGGAGTCTGCAGCGCCGTCCTGTTACCAGTGTAGTGGGCCTGAGCACACCCATGGGCCGGGTTGAGCAGCCCGCAGCGTGCGCGGCCGACTCCGACGGGGGGCTCTCACACGTCGGCGGGCGGGCGGCGGCGCGCGCCGCCTCCCCATTGTGCCGTCCGGTCTGGCGCCGCCGCGACAGCCCGGTGAGTCACGCGCTGCTGGGCCGGTTTTCCTAGGCGCCGGTGGCGCCGCACACCGGCAGCGGCGGGCACTACCCGCGCGGGGCGGCGGTGGCGGGGGCGCGGCTCGGGAGGCATGTACTACTCGCGGCGGCGCGGCGGCACGCCTGCCGCTGAGCGTCACGTCTCAGCGCCCCTCCCCACCGCCCATCCTCGCCCTCGTGCCGCGCCGCCTGCCGTCGTCCGCACGTGGACACGTGCACGGCTGTCGTCCTGTCACGCGGACTTGTCGGTCCGCTTCGGACCCCAGCTCCGTGCGCCGATTCAGACGGTCCGTGGGCGGCGCGGGGATTTGTGAACGGCGAACCGGTCACGACCGCCTTGTCTTCAGCTGGAACGATGCACTTTCGGCTGAATGGAGATCTACTCGAAGGACGCCACTCCCTGGGCTTCGCCGCTGCGGCCAACATCGGCGGCAGTGGAGACTCGTGTGCTCGCTAAAATCGAGGTATAACTATTTGGGATATGTGCGGTAGGATACCGGCGTGCTGCCGGCTGTCGTCCGATTCTGCCGCCGTGGAAGACGTAACAGAACGCAGATGCGTGGACCGTACCGAACCATGTGTAGTAATGCGAAGGTAGTCAATCATCTAAGGGCTTCAGTAATTGGACGCGCCATTGTAGTCGGTGCGCCCAAAAGTCAAAATAACAATAAGAATCATTATCATCCGACCTGTTCAATGAGCGCGCAATGCATTCACGCAAACGCACAAAGGTTTGTCTTTTGCTTTTGTTGGCCAAAATTTGGGAAGTGGGAGGGAGATTAAACAATTATGTGGCTGCACTTCCATGCGCATATTTTCGTTTTGGAAAGCTTCGTAATCATATGCAGCAAGGTACTCGCGCACATCTCAAAGAACTGTATTGGATGGCTCGTGCTCGCTTCTTTACTTCTGTCGTGCATTGCATTATTTGCTCTAAAGAGCATTCGTCGACGCCGACGTATAAGAGCACCCGGCAACCTCTTTTCATTTTTCTCATTTTCATTTCCCGCTGCATCTTCCTCTCCGTCTCGGCCCTTTTCGCTGAGCTGGCTTCATCTGCTATTTTTGTGCGGCCGACGTTTTCCTTCACATCGTCATTGTTTTCATCATCGACCTGCGATAAGTTTGAACCGACCGAGAGGTGCTGCCGGCTTTGTTCTCTAAATTGACACTCCCGCGTCGTTCAGGCGCGGAATCTGATGCGGCCTTCAGATTTTGGCCTGATAAAAGATCAGCTGGGCAGATGCGACCGTAACAAGAAGTCATCGCGGCCGGCTATGGTAGAGACGACATTGCTGTGTTGCTGACGAGAAAATCCGTGCATTTTTCTTGTCATCGCATAAGCTGAGAGCGTTACTAGGGTTTGAATTGGCCACAAATACAGCGATAAATTACCATTTGCCTGTCGACAGCACTGTCATCCGAGCACCTTTGACGTTCTTATCTAGACACATTGCGCCGGTTCTTCCTAATTGTTTCTTGTCTTTCTCTTTGCCGGAGCATCCTCGTTTGATTTTCTGCATAATCTATACCAGATGAAAGCACTGAGGCGCATCCAAGCCAACACATCCAATTCTAAGAAGCTTGCTTAGCTCTACGATAATGAATTTCGTTTCAGACCGGGCTGTGATAATGCGCCATTTCTGCTGCGCTCGTCAGCCGGCTGCCTCCCCTCCCCCGCTGTGGCTCGAGCCAGCCGAGATTATCCTTTTTCCACTGTACGTCAGCCGAGACGGCCGAGGGCTCCATGAGTTGTCGAAGAGGGCGTGTTGGGACCAGCTCCCGACAGCTGAAGGGTGCTGTGCTGGGACCAGCTCCCGACGGCCGCAGAATGCTGTGCTGGGACCAGCTCCCGACGGCTACAGAATGCTGTGCTGGGACCAGCTTCCGACGGCTGCAGAGCGGTGTGCTGGGGCCAGCTTCCGACGGCTGCAGAGCGGTGTGCTGGGGCCAGCTTCCGACGGCTGCAGAGTGCTGTGCTGGGATCAGCTCCCGACGGTTACACGCAGCTGAGTGTGGGGCGCACGGCCGGCATATGGTGCAGCCCCGTGGCAGGCGCTGTAGTTTATAGCTGCGTGACACTCCACTTGGGTCGTCGTCGATTAAACCCGACTTAAAGACGGCCATTAATAACTCATAGATGGCTGTGGCGATGCATCAATGTGAATTATTCAACTCCCATAACTCAGGAACACTTGTCTCCCGCGACATTGGGGCAAGTGTAAAACTCTTATCTCTTGCCCATCTTCCACTTGGCTGTTTTTGAAACCCGTCCGTGTTATTTGTTGGCATTTCTGGTCATGACAGAGACACACTTACTGTCGTCTTAGACAACATCTTGGAGCTCCCGAAGCTGTCATGGGGTCTTTCTTAAGGGACATTGGCGGACGCAAGCAGCCGGGACAACAACACAACGTTACGCAAATATTGTACTCCCACACCCCTATTCTCTCCTTTCATTGTACCGTGCGCACCCGCTGCCCGGTAAAGTTGCATCGACGAGCTCTCCGCAGCAGCGGCATGTTGGTTATGGGACCAAATGCGGCGCGGTTAGTGGGTCTGAGTTGACAGCAGCATTTGGTGGTTTTCGGGAAGTTTTACAAAACGCAGGCACACTAGTTTTGTTAATTTTCCTTTCTCTGCGGTTGTAGTATTCCTCCCGCGTATTTGCTCCCTGTATTCACGGCCGCCCTGCCAATGTCGGCTGGTCGGTGGCTCCTAGGTCCCAGCGGAGTAGGGCAGCCCCGTCTGGTGCCACTGCTCAGCCTGTGTGACCGGGGTGGGCCATCTCCCCCCCCCCCCCCGGCGACCACGCCGGGCCAGCGTCCGCCCTGCCGGTCGGCGTCCATTCAGAGCGCCGTATCAGATTGGCGGCGTCCGGCAGCGTCCACTGCAGGCGGCGCCGAGAAAGCCGTCGCATTGTGCGTGGGGCGGGCGGTTGATGGCGACACGTCCGGCCGGCCCAGGTACGCCCTGTGTGGCGGCACGGCCGCCGCTGCACCGGCGCCGGCGCGTCCGCACGCACGAGGCTGGCGTGGCGGCGGCCCGCTACAGCCGGTGACGCCCGCTGTTCATGTGCCAAGTTGTCCACATCAGCGGCAGTCGCAGCGGCAGTCGGCGCCGTGTGATGGATGTGTTCGCTGCGGTGGCGGCCACGTCTCTCGTCACTCGTCAGGGGCGCATAATTCACGGTCGGGCAGGCCTGTCGTGCGTGCTCATGTAATCCCGCGCCTAAGGCCGACGCTGAGGAGGCACCCGACTGATCACAAAAAGGCAGCCTCTTGTGATCGCTCCAAAAACCGATGGCAGAGCATAATATCGACCTTGAGTAGCGCCAGCCCCATTCCAGGGCACTGCCCCGTCTGAGGTGTGGTCACCATGGTAACGGCCCGTGACTGCGTGATGGCGGCCGCTGTAG